GTGCCAGTCAATCTTGATCCCGGCATAAGTTTTATTTCCTTATGTTTTTTCAGAAATGAGAATGATTTTGATTGGTTATCCATTATACTGACATGTTGTTATAACCGAATAAATTCTATATTTCTAAAAAAAGTTGACAAATTATGTCATTATACTAGTATAACGAGATAAATAATAGATGTCATTTAATTTCGTCATTCGTAATTGATTTCGTCACGCGTAATTGATTTCGTAATTAATTTCGTAATTACGTATTACGTATTACGTTTTTGGCAAAATAATTACCATAGCATGTATAGACAGTAACACGGCAATTTTCTTTTTTTTATCAGTGAACATTTTTAGACTTACTTTCTCATTGTATACAAGTAAAATACATTCCATTTAAAAAGCTTTACGAAAGAACAACAGATATCAATAAAAACCTCTGCATCGAACTACCCCAAAAAAATAAAATAAAATCCTCCAATCAGGGATTTAAATGTTTTGGTTGACTTGGTAAACCAGATATTAATAATAATATCGGGAGTTTCATATTATTATTGCAAAATAACTTAACTGATATTATAAAAACTTTCATAAATTATTTACACAGTAATTTGATAATAATAAAAACTTTCGTAAATTTTTCATTTGATAACAATTACCATAGATAAAATTAGTTTACCCTGGAACATAAAGTACTTGACGATCTTATCTATCTGATCATGTATCACGTTACTAATATTAATATAAGAAATGTTCGAGTTTAAATAGTAAATGAGTGTGTGTGAACTGAATTTGTGTTCAGTAAAGCTCTTTGGAAACACCTTATGAAACAAAGGAGAGATTGGGGCATATACACAAGAAAAATATAAAGATTGAAAATTAAAGAATATATGTTTACTTTATATGAGCCTTTAAAGCAATTTCTTATGTTAACTAATTTTTTATATTGTGCAACGTAACTTTACAATACACGGCAAACATTCTGGAATAGGATCTCCGGAGCAATGGGATCTGTATAACGTTTCGTGTAGCAAAAGAAAAAAGGAAATGACGTAACTGAAAAAAAAAAAAACTCGTTTCTCATTAAAACACCAAGTCAAGTTTTTATATTTATTATTTTATATAATGTCGCAATATAAATTATTATTATCATCATTATCACCAGAAAGAAGGAAATTTGTATTTAAAATTAATGCTGAAATGCATAATAATGCTCTAGTTAATTCTGAAAGAGAAAATAGAAAGGATTATTTTTTTTCGTTAGTCAATAAAAACAAGGAGCTTTCTGAAAATGAAAAAAAATATTGCAAGGAAAGGTTTATTTATGACTTTGAATTAACAAATGCAAGAAATAAAAAAGGCAAATCAAAAGAATGTAACAAATGTAACTTGACAAAATATTCTGATAGATTCTGTGAAGGTTGTATTAGTTTACAATTACAGAGTCTTTTCACTACCTGGACGTCTGGAAACGACATAGTTGATAACTTTATTCAACAATGTCAAATGAAATCATCTCTACCAGATGGTATTTTAGAATGGATACCTTTTGAACAATTTGAGGATATAACAAAGTTAACTGAAGGTGGATTTAGTTCAATTTATACTGCTATATGGACAAGAGGAAGTATTGATGATTATGATGAGAATAAAAAGGAATTTAGTTATTTTGGAGTACAAGGTGTAGTATTAAAAAATTTAAATGGCTCAAGTAATCTAGGAAAAAGCTTTTTTGATGAGGTTGGTAGTTGTCACTTAAAACAATACTGTATTATATAATATTGATTGATTTTATATTTATTTTCAGGCAATGAATCATTGTAAAATTAAATCACAAATGATTATTCCTTGTTATGGAATAACTAAATTCTCAAATAATGGAAATTATGCAATGGTTTTACCTTATTTATCAGATGGAAGTTTAAGGGATTTTTTGCAAAAAAATCATTTAAACTTAACATTAAAAAACAGAATTATAATCATTGATTATCTATGTGATGCATTACATCAAATACATGAAAAAGGCTTAATCCATTGTGATTTACATAGTGGTAATGTATTGTTGCAAGGAGGTGGTTGTTATATTTCAGATTTAGGATTATGTGGACCAGTTGATAGAGAATCATCAGATCAATTGTATGGAATTGTATCATATATTGCACCTGAACTACTTAGAGGCAAAATTAATATAAAGAACACAAAAGAATCAGATATCTATAGCGTTGGGATGTTAATGTGGGAAATATTTGCAGGACACCCACCATTTGATAATAGAGGTCACAATCACCATTTAATTTTTGATATATGCGCGGAAGGTTTACGACCACCAATATTACCAGGAATGCCTGATGATTATGTGCAAATGATGCAGAGGTGTTGGGATGTGGATCCATCAAAAAGACCAACTAGTAGAGAGCTTTATGATTTTTCTGAAATCAAACTTGAAGAAATTATTAAAAATGAAAGTTTAAAAAATAATAATAATAATAATAGTTTAATAAAAAGATTATTCAAGTTTTCTAAAATCAAAAAACAAGAAATTGATTTTAATAATAATGGTAGCAGCAGCAATGGTGGTAGCAGTGGTAGTAATTCACAACAAATACACAAATCACACCCAGGTGCATATCATACAAGTAGAATATTAGATGAAGAGATTGCTAAATCTAAAAGCTTAAAAATTTATACAAGTAATGATAGTTCGTTAAATGATCTTGATTTTAACTCTTTTCTCTTAAATGTTGAAGGTGAATAAAAATTTCATTATTAATTAATTGGAAATTACCATCCATTAATTATTACTAACGATATTATTAATAAACATTAGATTCTAGTAATAATAGTAAAAGAAAAGATGTGATGAATGACTAATTTAATCTCCATTGTAAATTTACTTTTATTTTATCCTTATTTTTATTATATTTTGGAATTAAACTTTTTACAATTTTTTTTTAATTCTTATTAAATGGTAATAATTCGGTGCTTGTCAATTAATTAGTTTATGAATTTACTCTTTCTTGTACCTAGAGCACGCTTAATGGTATCAGACAACTGTAAATAATCAGATGGCGCTACAAAGTTCCTTTTATTTAATTGCTTATTTCAGTCATTTACATTTATTGACCGATTGCAAACTCGTTTTGTTTTGCTTGCAAATCAATTTAAGTAACTTGTTTAACAGTCTTACTTTAATGATTACAATAATACTACCAGTATTTCCAATTAATCTTTAGATGATACTTTGTTAACACCCATTGGTTAGCTAACGTTAGTCGTAGCCTTTGCTTACTCACTATAGCAAATTACATTATTACTTGTTGTTAACACTCACTAGTTAACCAATGTTAGTCCTAACCTTACTTGCTTGCTCACTAAAGTAAATAAATGCTTTTTACCAAACTTCCACAATTGGTGCCTTTTGCCAAGGCACTAACTACACTGTAGTTTTATAAAAGTGCTTTAAACAAAGAAAACAAAGACAATGTTTTTTTATTTTATTAGAATGTTAATTATCAATTATTTTCCTCTGCGAGTACCTGAAGTTATACTTTTCAGAAATTATCTTTAATGAAATTTTCATTGATCACTATAATAAAGATAAAGATAAAGATGAGTTTACTATTGCAAAGTAACTTAATCAATCAAGCAAAGAGTAGTGTTATTGTAACCGTAAACGTAAAAACTGTTAAACAAGCTGCTTTAAGTTGTTTTGTAAAATGAGCCAAAGCGAGTTTGCAATCGGCCAATAAATATAAACAAGGGTAAATGACTGAAATAAATCAGTCGCAAGTAAATAAAAAGAAGTTTTGGAAAAGAGCCATGTCTATTTATTTACAATTATCTGGTATCATTGAGTGTGCTTACATATTTTCCGGGTACAAGAAAGAGGCAGTAGGTGAGAAGCAAAGTAAATTCCTAAATTAATCAATTGAATTATGGTGTGTTGATCGATTGCAATTGACTGGCAAGAGTAGCCCAAAGGTTAAATCATCGTCGGCCATACTTGTTAAATAATCTGTGAAGCTAACATGATCGCACAAATCCAAACCTTTATAACTTTTTAGATCATTAAAGATATCCAAGTAAATTTACATTCGTTGCTTTATTCATTTTTTCTTGGTATTATTAATTAGGGAATAAATGCTGAGAACATGACCCATGAAAAAAATAAAATAAAATGGGAAGTTGCATACCGATCATTTTCACTTATTCGTTTATTCATTTTTCACTAAATCAATTGATTGACTGATTGATTAACTTACAACATTTGGTACATATTGATATTCTATTAAAGAAATATTTTCGTCTACATTTGGATTTAGATTTTCTAATATTGATAAATCCTTATCAACAATCATTGCATTATTGTCTATCAATTTAATTTCTGAATTGGCATTTCTATCAATCACTATTCGCATAAATCCACGAAACATTTCTACACGAGCATTGTGAATTAAAACTATTGAATTTGGTTCAAGTAATGAGATTTGTTCTATAAATTTGCAAGTTATCGTTTGTCATTATCATGGTTTTTCTTTTTGAAAAGATGAAATTATGCCAAATAGATAAAAAATAATTTGTTACCATTAAAAGCTTTTACAATAATACAACCAGAAGAATCTCCTACTAGAAACTCTGCTACTTTAATCTTTGACCATGCTTTATAAAATATAAATGAATATATTTGTTAATATATATATATATATATAATAATGTTATGTGTGTAAATTGTAATAAATAAGTTTGCTCACTTAAATAGTCATCAGTTTCACCAGACATTATTTGCGATATAACTTTTACTCGTAAATTAACCTGATATTGGTCAGGTTTTAATTTCATTACTTCATTGTCTATTAAATTGATAATTAATCAATTATCAATTTATTAGAAACATTGAAAATAATAATAATAAAAAAAGAAACATACATGATATTGGAGAAGTAGTCATTGGTTTAAATAAAAAAAAATTTTGATAAATACAATGTTGTACAAAATGACAATTTTTTGAAGATTTTTATTTTTTAAGATGATACCAATACCAAGAAATTTCTATAGAATCTTTGCTAGGTCTGCTACTACATTTACCAATGTTAAAATTAATAATGTAGTCAAAATTACAACAACAAAAGGTGCGCCAATTGTTGGCACGGGAATATTTCAAAGAAAGAATTTTCATTCCTCAACAAAAAATAAATCAGATAAATTATTTATAGTAAATTTTTTAATAATAATTATCATCATCAATTTAAATTTTTTTTCAAACACATCATATCATATATTATATACCAATTTTATTAATAATATAGCATCGAAATACGCCATATAATAATCCATCAATTCCATTTGAGCTTACACCTGAAAATCTTAAACGAGCAGAAGAAATCATTAAAAGATACCCACCACAATACAAAAAAGCAGCCGTTATACCTTTGCTAGATCTTTGTCAACGTCAACTCGGTTGGACAAGTCTTTCAGTGATGAATGCTGTTGCAAAATTATTGGAAATGCCTCCAATGCGTGTATATGAAGTTGCAACTTTTTATACAATGTTTAATAGGTAGTTAAGATAATTATTACTGTTGGTTAATATATATATTGTTTGACAAAGTATATTAAAGGGTATTGGAAATTTAGATATAATGGATAAATATAAATATAAATATTATTTATTAGGGAACCAGTTGGTAAATATTTTCTTCAATTATGCACAACAACACCATGTGAATTATGCGGAGCGAATGAAATTTTAAAAACAATTGAAGATCATCTTAAAATCAAAGTTGGAGAGACTACATCCGATAAATTATTTACATTGGTAGAGGTTGAATGTGCAGGTGCTTGTGTTAATGCTCCTGTTTTGGCCATTAATGATGACTATTATGTATGATTTTAATTTTATTTATTTCGTGTAGAATTTTATGGAAAAAATCAAAAATTTTTTTTTTTTAAAATAAAATAAATAATAATCTTTGTTATTTATTATTCAAAAAAATAATTCTAGGAGGATTTGACGCCAGAAACAACAATCAAGATTCTTGATGAAATAAAATCTGGAAAGTTACCTAAACATGGACCGCAAACAGGTCGTCATACCTGTGAACCAAAAACGGGCCTAACCACTTTAACAAGCGAACCTTATGGACCTGGTTTTGGTGTTAGATCAGATTTATAAAAAAGTAATCTATATATATATATATATATCATTCGATCAACATGTTGTGTAATTTCATGTGTAACATCACCAAAAATCAAAAATCGTTCATTCCAAGATAACTTGGAAATTTTCTTAATAAAATATTCTTCAAGAGTCAAAGAATATTTTTTGTTATGCCATTTCACTTATTCGCAGAGATATGCTTACTTGAACATATGCAACCTTGAGAAGCTTTTTTTGAGATTAAACTTTGAAAATAAGAGTTCCAACAATTTTATGAATTGTATAAGGTATAAATATTTTGTATTTACAACTTTTATTGTTTCATGAATAGTTGGTCATTAATACCTGAAAAAATCTTCCATAATTGTAACAAATGACTTTTGTATCAATTGTAAATGCCTTGTCTGTTCAGAAAAATTCATATATAAATTAAAAGCTCAACATGGAGATGAAAAATTGTACTTGTATTTCTTACCAATTTGAGCATAAATAAAAAATAATTTTTTAAGAATATTTACTCAAAATATAGCCTATTTCTAATTTTCTACCAACATCATCATATACATTTTGATTACAGCTGTCCAATTTTTCACCTAACCATAACAACAGTAATAAGCAAAATATATGAAGGTGTGTGGTTATCTGAATGACAATACATCCAAATTCATTTTTATTTGCATGCTTGATCACCAACAGAATGTCATCACCTTGATGATTATATTTAGATTTATTGCACCATAGCACATCCAAACTTCCTCAAATGTATTCAAGCCTGATTTATATGTAATTTGGATAAATTGTGTAAACTCAATTTCATGATCCTCTCATGTATCATGGTGATCTTTAATTTTTTTTCAAACTTGGAAAAGGTGTTTCCATGAAGTCCTTGACAAGTACTCAACAAGAAAAAAATAAACTGCCACCTTTTTAATACAACATATCCAAACAGTCACCAAAATAATTCTCATGCAAGCTCTCCTTGGTCACCAGCATTAACTATTCCACCTGTAGAAATTGTATTATTCAATACTGTTATTGCAGCTTTTTGGTAATAGTCATTTTGCAAAGTTACCAATGCTGCTTCAGCTAAAATGAGTTCTGATGGGTAATAAATTAACGCCTCTAATCTATTACAGACTGATTGGGAAGGTAATTTTGCTCTAGGACAAAGATAAAGTCTCATAGTAGTGTTAAAGCAGTTATGCATTTTTCTGCATGATTATTCCTAGTCAAGGATATAGTCCCATTAATGTCCCTTGTTGCTACAAGATTTCCATCCAAAGTGGACGCCCATATAAACAAAGATCAAATCCAATCATTTTTATGAAACTATCAACTTCTTGGTAATTTTATCACTACCAAAAAATTTCATTAGTGTCCATGATCCATTTTAAGCACTGTAAGTAAAAAAAAAGTCAAACCTGTATATGCCTGTTGATGCAATATGTATAAATAGGCCTAACAAGACCTTCACATCATCTCCAAAAGTTTTCCTTTCTATAAAATAGAATAGTAAATAAATAAAAAAATGAAAGTGTGCATGGATAACTCATTTGTAAATCTTGCAGATTTGTCTTCACTTTCTTTAGGAACCAAATTTCCAATGCTTGAATTTGTGTCTGTCATTATTCCAAACATGCAGCCTCCAATCCTGGATAGTGTTCTTCTGCACTCTCTGCATGGAAAGTTATTATGGCCATCTTTACAATGATAGTTAAATGTGATGTTGATATTAAGATAAATCACCTATTAACCAATATATACACACTTGCCATATGAAACAGTATTGGGATCCCAGTCAAGAGACTTCATCAAACATGCAAAGTACCTTATCAGGACTCAAATCAGTGCAGCATTCTCATGTAGGTTACAAGAAGGGTGTTCTAATTTCCTTCTGTACATTTTCTGTGCATTTTCAGAGGGGTTTTCTTATACTTTTCCATACAAAAATGTACAGAAAAATGCAAATTTCAGGTAAAATTCCATACAGTTTTCCATACATTTTCTGTACCAAATTTTTTATAGGATAGAGTCACCAAATCTGGCACAATAATGTTCAAACTAAACTAAAATCACCATATACCACTACACTACTTGAGGCATCCCTACAAGCAATATAGTAAAACTAATAAAAGGGGTTTCTAACTAATAATTAAATGTTGGCCAAACCATTAATCATCAGAAAGGGTTATGAATCAATTAATGAAAGTGTTATTATTGAAAAATCAATTGTTTTTAAATTTTTTCTTCACTGAAGGAGATTTCATACATATTTATACTTCTTAAAGTATTACAAATAACATGATTTTGTCCAATAAAATAAAACAAAATAGAATGATAAATGGTGACTAATTGAAAATTACCAAGTTAAATGTCAAAAATGAGTCATTGATGATGTCATGATTAATGATACCTGACGAAATTTTTTTGTCATAATTAATTAAAAATAAAATTTATCTTCCTTGAAAATATTATTAGACAGAAAAATATGGCAATGTGACTCTGGACACATTTGTATTGCACCAATTCCATTCAATTCATTAATGGCATATAAGACTTTGATGAACCTTTCTTTGAAGTCAACACAGCTTTAATAGGACAGGTTTCCCTTCCTATTGGGGGAAACATCAAAGATTCCAGGTCAGGGTTTCCAAATAAGATCAGAAGTTTGGCATTGTTTGATTCAACCAATCCTACAATCAGTATACTGTAGTTTGTGTCTGTTGTGTATTTTTGGAAAAAAGAATCATTTGGGACAACCAAATCTGGAGGATGGGGAACCTCTTCTAGAAGTTGAATGCAATAATAGTTCAACAAGCAAGTTGAAATGATTAGATGTGGTTTTTTTATTTGATAATTTAGGTTATATTTAAATTATTCAGATACATTGTATTAAATTTAAAATTTTTATATTAATAAATTATTTATATATTATATATATTAAGGATACTGGCTGCAACTTTTGATGATGGTTGCTACTACCTTTGCATCATATAAAATGATTACAACTGCTGGTTGCAACCACCTTTACAACCATTTTGTTTCCTTTTTTGGGTTGCAACATGGAACACTAATATAATATATATTGTATAATATATTGTTAGTACATCACTTCAACTTGTTAATGCTATAAGAGATGAAAATATTGATTTGAAAGGTAAAAAAATAAATAATACTGCTATTATGTATGATTATTAAAATTTATTTTTATTTTTTTGTATATCAAAAAAATTATTTGTGTGCATATTTGTCATCCAAATTTCAAAAATGAAAAAAAAAATTCCAAAGTAGTTATATAATATCATTACTCAAGATATTTAATATCACTATTATAGTAGTCAGATAAATAAAAAATAATTTAATACATAATAAGTGACAGGATTTAACTTATTCAGGTAAGTCATCTGGTATAGCTAAATCAATTTGTTTAGAATCTACAAAATATTTATCATGAGTGGATATTAATAAAATATTGTTAATTTTAATAAAAATGAAAATAGTCAATGATTGAATGTTAATAATTACCATTATTATTACTAATAATTGTTACTTTATTGGAATTCACAGGTTCGGGAAGGTTTGTAAAATTTAATAATCTGCTAGTATAAACTGCATTTGGATGAATTGCTGTAGTAATTGTTGAAGGATCAAATTTTATTTCATTCATTTTATAAAACTCCTTTCTAATTGATTTTAATTCATCATGCTTTTCTTTTGAGTATCCATAAAATCCAGCACTATTATTTATTTTAATATCATTAAGTGAATCTCTCCAAAACTTAATAATCAAAAAAATTTCTTCAGCAGTTGGACGTTTATCTGGATTAGCATCCATGCATTTGAATGCTAGTTCAATATATAATTTTGGTGTATTGTTTGAAAATCCAGGTCTTGCACCTTTACATATATTCATTGCAAGATATTCATCATGTGCCAAATTATTAAATGGTTGTTGGCCAGTTGATACTACAGACATCAGAACTCCAAAACTGTATACATCTGATGTTTTTGTATGTGGTTTCTTTTTTAGAACTTCTGGTGCAATATATGGTAATACTCCACATATATCATTTTTGTCTGATGATGATGTTTGACTAGCTGAGCATGATAATCCTAAGTCTGCAATAAATGGGTCATAACTACTTTGAAGAATATTACCACTATGAAGATTATGATGAATAATTTCTTTTTCATGAATAGCCTTTAAACCTTTAATAATATATAAAAGAATTTCAATTTTTATTTCCCATTTCAAATTTTTAAAATCTTTAGTTAAATAATTTTGAAGATTTCCATCTTCCATATATCTCATTACAAATATATATTCTTTTGTAATTGGATCTTGCGTTAATCCATAAATATGAATTATAACATATTTATTATGAAACTTTATATAATTTTTGAACTAAATAACAAAAAAAATATTTAATTACAACAATAATAATTAATAATATCTAAAAAATCTGAAATAATTAGAAAAATAAAATAATTTACCTCATTAAGAAATTCATCAGAAATATTCTGTGAATTATGTAGTTTTTTTAATGCCACAGTCCTATCATGACTATATCTTTCATAATTTATATATTTACTACCATTTAACCAAGTAGCTTTGGATATAGTTGCAAACCCACCTTCACCTATCTTTTCAATATTTGTTAAATCATTATAAGGAATCCATTGAAGATAATATCTATTATCATATCTTTTTGCTTTAAGTTGTGTACTTTTAATCAACTCATCTAATGTTTCATTGCCACTAGTCCATCCTTCAGTTAATAACTTTGGATCACATGATTGACACCATGCACAACTGGTATTATATCTTTTGCATGTTGGACATTCCCCATATTCTTCATCTCTTTCCTTTGAATATTGATCTTCATAATCTTGAAGACTTCCATCTTCTATATATTCCATTACAAATATATATTCTTTTGTAATTGGATCTTGTGTAAATCCATAAATATGAATTGTATCTTCATTATAATGAAGCCTTGTATAATTGTTGAACTAAATAATGAATAAATATTTAATTACAACAATAATAATTGATAATATCTAAAAAATCAGAAAATAAATAAAAAAATAAAATAATTTACCTCATTAAGAAATTCATCAAAAATATTCTGTGAATTATGTAGTTTTTTTAATGCCACAGTCACTTCTTCACTAGTTCTTTTATAATGATTTGTACTTATATAACCATTTAACCAAGTAGCTTTGGATATAGTCGCAAACCCACCTTCACCTATCTTTTCAATATTTGTTAAATTATTATAAGGAATCCATTGAAGATAATAACAATTACCATATCTTGTTGCTTTGAGTTGTGTACTTTTAATCAACTCATCTAATGTTTCATTGCCACTAGTCCATCCTTCAGTTAATAATTTTGGATCACATGATTGACACCATAAATAATCAGTATTATATCTATTGCATGTTGGACACTCCCCATAATATTCCTTTCTTTTATCAGAATATTCATCATTTTGAGGACTTCCATCTTCCATGTAATGCATTACAGAGATATATTCTTTTGTAATTGGATCTTGTGTTAACCCATAAATATAAACTTTATCATGGAACGTGGTATAATTTTTGAGCTAAAATAACAAATAAAATATTTAATTATAATTCGATAATATCAAAAAATCTGAAATAAATAGAAAAATAAATAATTTACCTCATTAAGAAATTCATCAGAAACATTCTGTAAATTATTTAATTTTTTTAATGCCACAGGCATATCTTTACTGGTTCTCTCCTTATCATAATTTATACTTTTATAACCATTTAACCAAGTAGCTTTGGATATCATTGCAAACCCACCTTCATCCATCTTTTCAATATTTGTTAAATCATCATAAGGAATCCATTGAAGATGATTACTATAATGATACTTGGTTGCTTTAAGTTGTGTACTTTTAATCAATTTATCCAATGTTACATTGCCACTAGTCCATCCTTCAGTTAACAACTTTGGATTACATGATTGGCACCATGAATAATAAGTATTATATCTATTGCAGGTTGGACATTTCCCATAACCTTCATACCTTCTATCAGAATATTCATCATAATTTTTGTCAGTAGTAGTATTGCAATGATGTTTATTGTCACCCAAAGTGTTTTCCATTGTGGTTTTTTATTAAATTTGTATAATTTGTACAATTTGTCAAAAAAAAAAATTTTCTAAAGAAC